CAAAATAACATGCAGCTGAAGTTATTTCCAAGCACCGAACTACTCCGAGCGACTGCTCTGAATTACACGTAACTTTTTTTTTTTTTCGATCCCAGGAGATGTGGTGATCTCCGAAATAGCTGCTATAACTTCTACCGCTTAGACTTTGTTGCTGTTTAAATTTTTCCTAATAAACAATCGTGGTACAAAGCTCAATAAAAACATTAAAAATAATCAACAAAGTTCCATTAGAATTGTAAGATTTTTAATACAAAAATTTTTTAGAAATTATCTGCGTACCAAAATACGCATGTAAACCTATTTTATTTAACTTATCTGTTCTCTTTTGCATATAAAAAGCATGTGTGCGATATTTCTACAATTGAATTTATAATAAAATTCATGAAATTAAATGAAAACTCAAAATCCCCTGTAATTTTTTTAACTTCCAATACTGTGATTTGTTTTGAATTCAAGTGTAATTTTTTACATATGATTAGTCGGTTTTACTTTCCTTTTTAACCGACTTTCAAAAAAGGACGAGGTTATCAGTCCGTCGGAATATTTATTTTTATTTTTTGTGTATGTATGTTACCGCATAACTTTGGACCATGTCAACCGATTTCTTTTTGCAACGGAAAGGTAGAGTCTCAGAGGTGGTCCCATACTAATTTGGTTTAGATCCGATCATTTAATCATGAAATATATAGATATACATATATATTTTTTTTTAAGTCGGTTTTTTTTGCTTAAAATTACTTGTTATATATCTGTACTGTAATGCTGACTGCATTTGTAGATACTTCCAATATAGAAGTATTACATATATAACTTTACCAAAAATAGTGCGAGCACATACATAAGTGTAGAATATCAACAATCTAGTTATAAAAAAACCAAACATGTGGCTCGATAGAATTTTTGCGCTGATTTCAACCCTACCAAAATTAAAAAATAAAGAAGTTATCAATGGTTAAATTTAATTTTTTTGATTTTTCTAAATATCAATATCTTCTGAACTACATAACCTATTAAAAAACGAACGATTAAAAAAAGAATGATCAAAGCAAATGTAGTTAGGGGGTATTTCACTTGATACATAATTTTATAAATTTTTTTTTTTAAGCCAAAAATACCTAATAAACAAAAAATATATATATTTTTTAATGGCGTTTATTTAAAATTTGTTTCAAAAAGGGTTATACTATATACGTCGCGTAAAAGATATATAAATTATCTTTAAATTAGCATCATTACTTTTGTGATCGGTCAAAGAGTTTCCAAGATATTATACATATAAAAAATTAAAAATTTTAAATTTTAATTTTAATTTTATTGGCTTTGATTTTTATTTGTGCCAAATAATCTTGGTATGGTTGAAATCAGCATGAAAAGTTCTATAATTTTTGTTTTTGTTTTTTGTTAAACGGTTGGTATTTCACACCTCGGGTACTTGGGACTGTTTCTGTCTAAACCAGTGATTCCCAAAGTAGTCTAGGGGTCCATGGGAGACTCGACAGGGGTCCACGTTGGCGTGAAAAAATATGGGGGTCCACGAGTTGTAAGTGGGGGTCCACGAAAGTTTATCTGGTTTCTATAGTAAAGAACCAAAATGGCTGCTGATAGCCAATTTATTTCACTTAAATTTTTTTAGTGTTGTATAGTACCCTTCACACACTGGCGAACTTACCGTCACTTTGTGCCATCATACGTGGGAAAGCCTTATAGGCCACCTGCAGACTAAAAAGAAGCGGATGGTGGTATAACACTTAGTGAGGCGATGCGGAAATTGCCGGCGGCAGACATTTGAGCACTTGTGTATTTTCAATGCTACAGCATAGTACGCCACCATTACCTTTGTTGAAGAGATTCTAGAGAGAAAGCGCGAGTTCCCTGAGGGACTGCACTGAGCCCGCACTCGTACATTGTCGAATCTTCACTGATGGCTACAAAACTGTCTCGAGTCAGGATCTGGAGTATTTTTCAAAGTTAATGGGGATAAGCTTAACTTTTTCTCTTGGGGAATATGCATCGGCCTTGCAGGCTGTGGTATTTGGAATCCCCAAAGCCATAGACTACGTGATGGAAAACAGGTGGAGGGGAAGGTACAGCCAAGCTGCACTTAAGGCCGGCCCTCTATCTGAGTACTTTCAAACCAGTTCGGCAATGCAAGTCTAGACTAAATTATGTTGGTAAAGATAACGAACTTGCTTTACTTTGGGTGCCGGGCAACTCGGGAGTGCCTGGAAATGACATCTGATCTTTTGGCCACAGTTGGCTTAGACTAGGCATTCCTCGATGCGCAACCAGTCATAACATTCCCCACTTCGACCATCAAAGCCAACATCAGAAACTGGGTGGATACTTCGCTCAGCAATGACTGGGAGCCATCGAGTAGATGCAGGTCGGCAAAACTCATGTTGCCTTTAATCTCAGAAGGTCTATCTAGTTGTTTCCTCTCACTGAGAAGACGGGACTGCTGACTGGTCACTTCACGTAGCACAAACACCTGAGTCTGATAGGCGTAAATGACAACTGCATTTGCATATCCTGCTTTGAAGAGGATACGACGGTGGAACACTTCTTGAGCTTCTTGCTTGCTTGTTTATTTATCAGCGATTTATCTAGATTCATTTTTTTTTGTCAGTGTCTGAATTTGAAGTTTGACGTAAAAGGCTTTGCAGTTTTTTTGTTTCAAGTTTTGTGTTTTAAAAACGCGAGTGACGAACATTTTTTGCATCACTTCAAAACTCGGAGCGATAAAAATAAAAATGATGCCATCAAAACAAATAAACTATTTGCCAAATGCATCACATGCAATTTAATTAATAAGCCGAACATGTGAGGAGTTTATTTAGCGCCCTTAAAAAATATAACTCCTTAGAGCGAAATAGTCCTTTCATGGCTTTACGAGCTCTGTTTTTAAAACTGGCAAGTGTGTAATAACATTATTTTAATAAATAGAACACAAGAACATATTTTATTTTTATTTTTGCCACTCCGAATTTAGTTTTGGCACTTACCCGCGATGCAAAATTAAATCTTCACATTTTTTTATGAGCTCTCAGAATATATTAGAAATAAGCACCCTGGTGCGAAATAAAGTCAATTGACATTATTACCTTTTCAAAAGCGAAATAAAGTCAACAAAAATTTGGAAATAAAGTCATTGACGCTATTTCCTCATTCAAATGGAAATAGCGTCAACAATGCTTAAAGTATGTCGATTCATAGAAAAAAATGTTGTTCTTACAATAAACATTGCCCCGTAAGTGTTGTTTTTTAATAGATGAAAAAGGCTTTTGCCAAATCCTCATTGTTGTGATAGTAATCCACACACAATCATGAACTACCACCAATTGATTCTATTAAAAAAAAATTTAAATTACGAATATGTAAAAACACGATGCGAAAAACTAAACGCCTGCGCACAGCTGGAATACGAGAAATATTTGAAGAAAGAGTGGAGAAATGATCCATAACTTGCAAAACATTTTTCGTTTCTACAAAAATAAAGCGAACATTATTAAATTGAAGAAACAGTACATGTCCTTGGTTATGAGGTGCCATATTGAGGATAAAGAAGTGCCAAAATGTGGCAAATAGAAAAATAAAAGTACCAAAAAAGGTGTAATTCCTTTTAAANTATTTCAACGTATACAAAAAATAAATCTACCTGCGTTACAGCACGTCGGGAGACGGGGAAGGGGGGGCCGGGTGGCCGCGGCGTAGCGTGACGTGGTGTGCGCGCCGGGTGCGCGGGGTACGCGGGGCGCGGGCGCGAGCGCGACGCGCGTGATGTGGTGCGCTGACGCGGGCCGCCGCGAAGCTAAGCAAATTTAATGTTTGAAAGAGAAATAATGTCAATTGATTTTATTTCGTTTTTAAAAAGGTAATAATGTCAATTGACTTTATTTCGCACCAGGGAGGGAAATAAAGTCAATTGACCTTATTTCCGTTGATCTTATTACCTGTCACCGTTTGGGAACCTCTGGTCTAAACCCTGGAGTACGGGAACATGCTAAATGTGAATAAGAAAAAGTAAACAAACAAATGTCAAATTTAACTCATAGTTTTTTTAACACCCCAATGAGAACACTTGACAGTTGTTCATAAACTCAAAGCGTTAAACTCGAGTTAATTTTTCAACGTGAACATAGTAAAATGTGTTGAAAAAAGTGTTTCATGCTGTGTGTTTTTTATGTTCTGAAAACTTTAATTACCTTAATTCACAAAGGCCCTAACCAACACTTTTTTCGAAACTTCAATTTTCACAAATTATGGTAGGATATATTAAAGTACCCCTTCACTAAAAATTTTAAAGTGTTCGTAAGCCACTTTCTAATAAGCCCTATATGCTTTTGATATTCTTTTTATAATATTTTCTGCTTCTCCTGTAAAATAATCAATCATTGGTTAGCGCTTTTTTTAACTAAATTAACGGCATGTTTTTAATGTTATTTTTTTTATTCATTAAATAATATTAATAGTAATTACGGTATTTGCTCTTAATACTTTTTGATACTTTCTAGCTTGGTAATTGATATGTGCATATTTTTCAAGTTTGCGGCAACATTGCTTTTGTAATAAATTGGCAAGGGAATTGCTTTCAGTTGTTTTACTGGCGGAAAATCCTCAAATGTGCTCATTTCCTTCGTAAAGCATGTAGAAACATGAGTGTTCCGAAAATAGTTCTTTCCAGATATAAATACAAATGCCACGGTAAATGTATAGATAAACTGGGAAAATAGGTTGAAAGATATTCGGGTCGGTTCAGAGAGGTTACAAATAGATACTTCTTCTCGGATAAATCTATTTGTACATACATGGATATGCACTACCGCCATAAATACTTCTATCATAAAGGCTTTCTTAACGATGAAACGGTTCGCGGATTTCTTATAATACTGAAGGTCTTTGCATACCCCACATTTAGTTAAAGTAAAAAAGGAAGAATTTGTTTCTGTTAGTTTGCAGGTACCCACTTTTTCACTACACTCTCTACAAAAGTGTTTTTGCAGTTATGTAGTTATAAGTGAGATAAAGTATATGCTGAGTAACGAATAAAATTTATAGAGAAAGAACGTGAATTAATTTAGTTTACGCGACGTGTAAGCCAAGCGCAAATGTGGATAAAATTTAATTTTTTGAAAATAGGTGTAAATATAAAGTACAACCGGTATTATGAAAACAAAAGAAGCCGCCAGTCAAACTGTATTTATTACAAAGAATAATGCTAAACAACTTAATGACCGTAAAGGGTAAGTGAACAGGTTTTTCGTTTGCAAGTGCTAGTGTACAATCATATGCGCGTGTTGCATAGTAAACTAAAGAGTGAGCAACCAAACAAAAAAAGTGAAAATCTTGAAATTTCTGTTTGATAGATAAGTATATAATTGTCATGATTCAATTATTAAAGGTTGGATAAATAATGACATTTGCGTTTTCCTACTGCTTTATAAGATTGCATTTGAGGAGTATATGGAAAGAGATAATAATTTGATCCCCTTTTGTGAAAATACAGTAGAAAAGTAGGAAGAAATCCGTTTTGTACATTATTTATAGTGTATTTTGAGGAAATTTTTTATTTCGTAGAAAATGTGAATTAATTATTAAAAGCAGCTTTCACTGCTCTACTCACTGGATAAAGAATTCAAATTGTATGGTATATTAAAAATGCTATAAAATAAATTAAGGGAGATATCTATAACGTCTATCGTTCAACTATAAAAATATGCGGATCGATAGAACTTTTTACGCAGATTTCAACATGTGAAAATTATTTAGCGCAGGTAAAAAACACATGTTTTATGACCGCTGGAACACAAACGAGTGAAATACATGTATATGTGTTTTAAATCAGCATGCCTTAAGGTTTTTTTTATACAGAACTAGCAGACCCGGCGAACTTCGTCCTGCCCAAAAAAAATTTTTTGTACACGGTAAAAATTTTGGGTTTACTTTAAACCGCGGTGGGACTACTGCCCTTTTTAATCTTTTATAAACTATTTTTTAAACCAGTCAATAGTTTTAAGCAATTTTTAATATATTGTGGTTTAAATTTTAGTCCAAAAAGTTCGGGGGTTTAAAAATCAAACCAAAATATTTTAATTCTAGTTTCTAGGTTTCATATATAGAAAATTTGGTTTAAAATTAAAATTTGGTTAAAATTAGAAAATGTTTGCACACAGCGAAATGTGGTGTTGATTCAAACTCAACATATGAAAGCATATTTACATGCGTGGCTGTAGCTGAGTGTGCAAAGCTGCTTTATACAATTGGTTGCTACTAAGGCTGTCCGGTTTCAATCTCCATTAGACGGAGCATGAAATTTTATTTTTATTTTTTATTCTTAATTATACAAATGTTTGGGTTTAAAATTTAAACCGAACAGTTTAAATTCTAAACCCAACATATGTGCCCTCTTTTTTTTAATTTAGAAGGTTTATATATGAAACAGAATTTATGTAGTTTTGTCATATAAGGTCGTCCAAAAAGTTTAAAATTAAAAGCGAAATTTTCAACATTTTCACCAAGAGTTCACGTTAATGATTTTTAGTGACGCATTTGTCTTCTAATATTACGGGTTGGAGGTTATCAGAAAGCATATTTGCCGTCTTAATAACTTAGCGAAACTGTACATGCATACTAATATACGTAATAGTTTCAGTACGTTTGAAAGGCGCCACGTCCCCTTTTCAAATAAACACCAATTTTCTCTAAGAGCATGGGATTAATTTCATATATCTCTATACCGCTTTCGAGTAATTCACCATGGGAGAAGCCACGTCCCTTTTTCCAATAGCCCCAACTTTTCTTCATGACCAGTCGCGTTTTATATATCTTGTACATACCAAGTTCCAGTACTCTTCCATGAGCACATTCAGAGATATGCAGTATGAAAATGAAATCGATGTGTATGGGAAGTGCCACGCGTCCTTTTCCGATAACCACAATTTATCTCCATGAGCATGCGATTGCTTTCAATTATCTCCATACCAAGTTCGAGACCTCTTCAATGAACAATTTCCGGGATATGCAGTATGAAAAATTCGGTTTGTATGGGAGGTGCCACGTAACTTTTTCCAATAACCGCAGTTTTTATCCTTGAATATGCAAATACTTTCATATATCTCCATACCATAATCGAGTAGTCTACCATGAACACTTCCAGAGATGTGCAATATGAAAAATTCAGTTTGTATGGGAGGTGCCACGCCCCCTGCACCTAGCGGTATGAAATATACTTTACATCCGATTCTCATACCTACCATATATAACACAAAAAATTTCATAAAGATCGGTCGAGCCGTTTAGGAAGAGGTCGATTATTATCTGTATATTAGATAAGCACGATGCGAGAAGCATAGAAAAAATTTCGATGAAAAAAAAATTTTTTTTCTCGGGAAACAACAATACACACCCACAAAATTTCATTGAAATCGGTTAAGCGGTATCGAAGAATAGCGTAAACGAACACAGTGACACGGGATATTTATATATTAAGATACCCTACTATAAGCACCTACCATAGATACGTTTGCGTACCAAATTTCAATTCCATTTGACTAATGGTTTTGAAATTATAGCTGATGAAATTTTCCACGCCTATGGGATGTGCCATGCCCCCTTTTACAAAGCCATTTATATATAAGCACCTACCACTGATATATCTGCATACTAAATTTCAAGTTTGTGGGACTTATAGTTCCGAAGTTATAGCTGATAAAAAAATGCCATGCCTATTGGATGTGCCATGCACTCTTTTCCAAACTCATTAATATATACCCTAATATAAGTACCTACCATTAAAATGGCTGCATACGAAATTTCAAGTTCAAGCGACTTATAGCTCCGGAGTTATAGCTGATAAAACATTCCAGGTCCATGGGAACCGCTACCCCTTTTACAAACTCACTTATATATACCCTACTATAAGCACCTACTATAGATACGTCTGCGTACCAAATTTCAATTTCACGTGACATATTATTCCGAATTTACCACGCCTATGGGATGTTCCACTCAGCGCCTACCGTAGATATGCCTGCACACCAAATTTTAAGTTCTTGAGACCTATGGTTCCCAAGTTATAGTTGATAAAAGGGTCCACACCTATGGGATGTGCCACGCCCCTTTTTACAAACTCATGTATATATAAAATACTGTAAGCACCTACCGCAGATATGTTTGCATACCTAATTTCAATTTCATGTGACTGATGGTTGTGAAATTATAGCTGATAAAAATTTCCACGCCTATGGGATGTGCCACGCCCCCTTTTACAAACCCCTTTATATATACTTTACTGTAAGCACCTACCATAGTTATGTCTGCATACCAAATTTCAAGTTCATGTGGCTTATAGTTCCGAGGTTATAGCTGATAAAACAAAAAGCTCCCTGATAAACAAAAAATTACCAGGTAAAAGTGTCACCGTTTTTGAAATATTTACATTTTTTCGAATTTAAAAAAAATCGTGCCTTTTCATGTATTTTCTTTAACTGCAACTACAAACCGGGCAATACTTAGTAAATTTTTTATGTAAAATGCTTCCAGATAGTCGCCTCTCCATACTCAAATGCAATGTACTTAAAATATATTAAGGAACCATCATAAAATTAGGACTATTTCGGGATTTTTAACTTTTTGATATTTTCTTCTCCAACTTTGACTATCGCTGGTGAAAAAAATGTACTGAGCTATAACTTTACATTACATAAAAAAATTGCTCATTTCATAAAGATTTCAGAAAGGTGCCACACTTACTGTTTTGAATAGAAAAAAAAAGTTATAGCCGCTTTTGTGGGTAAAGGACTGAGACACGCTAGAATGTATTTAATAGATTTAAATTGAATTTGCTCTTGTTACCGTCAAATGACATGCTAAATAGTACAAAGGTACAT